GAGCAGTCAACCAATCAGAAGTGCCCCAATCACACAGAATTCAATATGGCAGACACAGATTTGACAGATTGTGATTATAAGCAGTGATAGGTTATATTGCGCAAATTATTAAAAATGCCGAGCTGTTTTGTAAAAAATTGTAAAAATAGGACAAATGTCCTTTTTATAAAAAATGTAAAATTTTACTCGGTTCCTAAAGATCCTGAATTACGAATAAAGTGGTTGGAGGCTTGCCAGAGGGATAAAGACTGTATGATGAAATGTGGTATGTAATGAAATTACAGTTTTAACCTGTACTATATCTCGTTGCGTAAATATTGTAATGCTATATTTTAATATTTTTTATATAAATTACTTTCAGAAAGAGTATGTGAAGTGCATTTTTTATCAAATTGCTTTGAGGAACAAATGACAAAAAGAAAATTAAAACGTAAACTGAAGGCAGGATCTATACCAACAGAATTACTTCAGTTGCCGAAGGAAAGGCAGAAAAGGATCCATACAAATAACACTAACAATGCAGGACCAGAGAAATCAGTTCGGTAAGAATGAAAAATTTCTCAGGTGGAGTCCGATCTGATAAGCTCCCATCCATAATGTATCCAAAAAATAAGTGAATATTATATATATATATAATACATTTATAGATGTAGATATACAATATATTCTTTTATTTTATAGATGCATTACAGATTCTAGGTTTAAATGGAATTATATCCTTATACATTTTTGGTATAACTTTAAAGAAAATTAAGTCATTTCTGTTTTTAATCAATTTTTTTAATACATTTGTACATTTTTTAAATGATTACAGTACCGCAATACCAACGTATGCTGAGCTTGTTGAATGTGCAACCAAGGAAACTGAAAACGAGTCTATTCCAGAAAATACCACATTCAAGAAGCTGTGGAAGATGTATCAATGGAAAATATTGATCTTACACACAAGTATGCATCGTCTTTAGCTCTTTAGTGTTAATGCTGATTCTTATCTATTTATATCAATATTACTTTGAATGTTGTAAATAAATTTATTTAATTAATTTTGTCATGTGTTGTACTTTTTAGTGTACAAGATGCTACAGAGAAAAGAAAGCCAGAGGAAGTGCTTTCAAAGCGTTTTAAAGCATTAGAAAAAGAAAATAAGCAACTCACACAAACAATAAGAAGAATGGAAAAAGATGCAAATATTCGTGAAAAACAAATTGCCACCAATATTCTCCGCTCTGAAACATTAGAAAAAAGAAAATGAGCAACTCACACAAACAATAAGAAGGATGGAAAAAGATGCAAAAATTCGTGGAGAACAAATTGCCACCAATATTCTCCACTCTGTATTTGCGCCAGCTCAAGTAAAGAGAATTGTCTCTCCGCAGAATAGCGCAAATTGGTCGATTGAAGATATTACTTCCGCCATCGCTCTTCGCTCTGTCAGTGCAAGGGCATATAATTATTTACGCGAGGTCCGAAAAATTCCTCTACCTTGTGTGAATACTCTTCGCAGATGGATTTCAGAATTTCAGGTTAACCCTGGAATTCTTTACGAAGTTTTAAAAATAATGCAAATTAAAGGAGAACAGTTAATAACTGCGGAGAAGTTAACTGTACTGACCTTCGATGAGGTTTATATTGCGAATAAAATAGATATAGATGTACGAGAACAAAAAATTTACGGACCTCACAAAACTTGTCAAGTTGTAATGGCCCGTGGTTTGTTTTCCAAATGGAAACAGCCAATTTATTATGATTTTTCAAAACCTATGACAAAAGAAATTCTTTTCGTAATAATTGAATCATTGTATAAAATTGGTTATACAGTCATAGCTACGATAAACGACATGGGTCCTACTAATGTAGGACTTTGGAGAGAGTTGAATATCGGAATTTCAACAGTAAAAAAAGTAAATGAAGTTCAAATCGATGAATGCACAAAAATACAATGTTTTTTCCCACATCCATCAAATTATGATTTAAAGATATTTGTATTTGCCGACGCACCTCACCTTATAAAATTACTAAGAAATAATTTCATAGATTCAGGCTTTATAGTCAACGGTGAAATTTTTGATAAATCCCTATTGGAAGAGTTACTGCAATTAAATTCGCAGGATTTGAAAATTGCGTTTAATTTGAGCAGAGAACATTTAGACGTTAAGGGATTTTAGCGACAACGCGTTAAGTTAGCCGCACAAGTATTTTCACTTAAAAATGCTAAAAGTTTGGAATATTGCGGCACAAAAGGTTTCTTGTCAAAGGACAATTGGCAAGAAATGTCATATATGTTGAAGACAATTAATAATTGGTTTGATGTCTTAAATAGCCAATGTAAATTTGGTAAGCATAGCGGTACACATGCTTACGGAGTTGAGCTAAACAAGCAAAACGAAATTCTCGACGAGATGAGTAATTTAACTTCAAAATTGAGAGTGAAAAAAAAAAACAGGGCTTCTACCATTTCAGAAAGGTATTTTGTTAACAAACGAATCGTTAAAAAAGCTTCTTCCCTACTTAAAGGAAAAATACTCCGATGACAAATTTCAACCGCAATATATAATTACAAGAAGATTATGCCAAGATATTCTCGAAAACTTTTTTTCGTATTTGAGAGCAATGGGAGGAGCCAATGATCATCCATCTCCTATCGAATTTAAAAATCGTTTAAAATGGTAAGTTCTGGGAAAACATTCCAATCATGCCATTTCTGAAAAAGGGAACACGGAAACGGACGTTGAAACTGAACCATTAATAGATCTGCAAGACTTTCATACTGAAACTGACGGTAATATTTTTGATAACATGGAAGATGACCAATTAGCTTCGGAATCTGCATTATTTCTTGAGAATAATGACAAGGACAAGGAAAATGAGGACATCTTTAATGACGGTACTTGTAATAGTAAAAACTTATTTTTTAATACTTGTTATTTTTAGCAACTAATGAGTAATTGTATACATATATACATATACATATATATATATATATATATATATATATATATTGTATATACATATATATATATATTTATATACATATGTATAATACATATATATATTGTATATACATATATATATTTTTTAAGATAATTGTATATTGCCAATTTATATATATAAAATTACATATTAAGATTTGTATATACATACATTGTATTGGAAAAAAAAATTTATTTAACCACTAAAGGGTACTAACTTGTGCTCGGGCCTACGGATACACTGGGCACAATATACCCAGCCGTGGTTTTTGTTTTTATATGTAATAAATAATGGCAGTAATTACATCTCAGTCAATTTTCAGAATGATCTCTCTGACCTCTTCATATTCAACAGGAGTTTGTGGGATGTTCAAATATCGTGGATATTCAAATATCCAATCATATTTTCATCAAATGTTTCGGGGTTGAATAGGGCTACATCATTTTTACTCATTTCTGCAAACATTGGATTTTGAGGACAACTCAATTAAATGTGCTAAAAATTGCAATTTCTTTTAATGACAGGTTTTGTGTTAGGGCACAAAATGTTGTTGAATGATGTTGTAATAACTATCATGTTGATTATTAAATTTTATTTACATTTTTAATTATGTGTCTTTCATAAATTATAGCTCCACAGTTAACGAATTTTTCGGCAACAAACCTGGAATGGGATCTATTAAAAGAATTCGAGGCCAATATTGCAGCAGAAGATATTGAATCTCAAGGATTAGTTTATATTGCGGGATACGTTGCACATAGATATCGCCATCAGTATCCTCAATTAGGTAGTGCAACCAATACGGCGATACACTGTAACGATTGGCTGTCGTTTATTTCGCGAGGGAACTGTATTCGTCCGTCTGCAGACTTTTTAAAAGTTGCAGAAATTATGAATAATCAATTCATGTTATTTCACGGAGATTTTTTCAATCAAGAAAACAAAATTTTTGACAAATTAACCCAAATTGTATGCGTGAAAATAAATAATAGTATTCCAAAAGAGGTTGTTGCATGTTTGGTACGTACACGAACGTATATACGTTTACGAAAATTAAATAAAGATATAAAAATGAATAATTCAATTAAAAAGAAAGCTCAAAAAACTAAAAAAATTTGTAATGTATTATTATAATCTGTAATGTATTATAATTTTTTTTTTATTTCCATTTATTTTATGAAAAGTTTATCATTTTCAATTATATTTTGTTGTTTTTGATATATACATTTATTAATACAATTGTTTTAATCTGACAAAACTGTGTTTTTATTTTAATGAAGTTATTTCATTTTGAATTTCCGCCTTTTTGTGTGGGGCAGTTCTGATTGGTTCTCTGCCCATAATACCGCCATTATGCGCGTTGCTTCACCTTGTATACTTCCACCATG